TATCATCACTTTTTTGCAAATTTTAGATATTGCTCCATCTTCTAGAACAGTATCTCCCAACCCTTTTCTGATTGCTGCCCCCTACCTACTTAGTTTCCTTCCTCTGACTCTTGCCCTACTGGTTGGCCTCCTAGTTTTATATCACGATCCCCGCATTTATGTAATTTTCATCTGTGGTCCCCTTGGAAATCCTCATGGGTTTTTCCACATGCACCCACAAGTGCATGTAGAGTTCTGAACCCCTCGATTCACAGAACCGCCCTTCCCGGGAATCCTCATCTCCCCATTTCAACAAATATCACTAGAACTCACCAGACTAACAATACCTGGAAAATGCTTATCATTCCATTCCACTATATATTTCACATCTGATCTGCAGAATAATAGAGGTGGAAGAAATGCTAAATTGCTCTGAAGACTTCTAAAGCACCCTCACTTTCTTCAGCACTTTTTCAACCACACCTTGAATGGTACAGCCTAAATGTATAGCATATGGTGGCAAGCATAGCAAACAGCCCCTATCTGGAAGAATACATAGGAGGCTATCCATTCTGGTCTGACTTTTAAACTTACTATACCCAAGGCTATGTAATATTAAATTTTCATTTGATCTCCACTTTCTCTTATTCAAACATGCTCAACTATTTTCCTCTAGTGGACCATCCAACTCAGAGTACAATCACTCACTGCAATCCCTAACCTTTTGATTCTCCCAAATATTCAGTGATGGAGAAGAGAGAGGAGCAGATCATGGGCTTTTATTTTTTAATTTTATTAAATGTATTTTTCAAAACATTTTATTTAGTCACCATGAATTACAAACTTAATTGTGATTAGGTTTTAAGTATGCCATGTTCTTTGCTGGTGTCAAATCTCTTCACCAATGTCCCCAGTTTCCCTCCCACCCACCAGTCTTCCTTTGTGGCAGGCACTTTTATTTTATTTTATTTTTCTTGGGATTTTAATACAGAAAGAAAACATATCCAAGTCTCCATCCCAAAGAGAGATATTTTTTCTCATAATTAACTAATCTTGGAGGATCGAGTCATAGAACTGTGGGTAGGGTGTTTGCCTTGCATGTGACCAACTCGAGTTAAATCCTCAGCATCCCATATGGTTCCCTTGAGCACTGCCAGGATTTCTGAGTACAGAGTCAGGAGTAACCCCTGTGCATCTCTGGATGTCATCCCAAACAAGCAAAAAGAAAAATTATTAACTATTCTTTTAAAAAAAGTATAGTTTTAAAATTGAAAAAATGTATAATTTTAAAAATTAAAATAATTCCTTGGTATGATTTTCTTATTTTTCACAAAAGCCAGTCATTATTGCCAACTGTCTAAGTAAAAAGCATACAGATAAGAATAAATGTCTCTTATCAGAAGAAAGACAAAATAGGAACAAGCAATAAGTCTTTATTAGGAGTTAGAAAGGGTCAGATGCAGTAGCTGTTAGTTTTGGCTCAAGATTTTTCTCCAAGTTTCCTTACCCTTGATCGGAAGAATTCCACATGCTCAGAAATAATGCTATCTCATATTTACATGCAGGCTGACCTTGTCTAGGGTTAGTTTCCAATGAAAGTAAATCTTCCTCTTGATGGGGAAATAACTTTATCTGCACTAAAACCACACTAGACAACGGAAAGCACAACCTTCTCATCTAATTTAAATGATTTCTTGTGAAATTGTGTTACTATTGCTGATACTCCAGTGGTCAAAGCTATACACAAGGATGCTGACAAGAGGCTGGACCTACAAGGTGTTGTAAGAGCTTATTATTTTGTTGTTGTTGTTGTTATTGCTTTCTTTGCACTTTACAGCTAAGTGTCCTATTTTGTTCCCTCCAAGCATATATGTATTTGCTTATTTTCCTATCATTCTAGACCATGAACTCTGCTAGTGGGTGTTCTTTTCTTGTACTGTTTTTCTTTTTACTGCTCAGTGATATCTTGAATTGTTTTTTACCTCTCCTAAGGAAAATAGGTCCATCTCTTGGATCGAGACGACTTCTCTAAATCCTGTGGATAGCACCCATGCCCACTTTGACACACTTTTCCACTCTTGGATTAAACTAAGGATCCCAGCTTTCTGAATTGTAGGTCATTTGTTCTTCTCTCCACTTTGGCCCTACAGCTAAAACTAGCCTAGTGTTGCTAGTGGTTTAATTTCAGTTCTGTGGGCTCTTCCTGGAGCTCTAAATGCCTCCGGGGTATCTTTTGGTCAACACAAAGGGTGTTCATTTCTACTAGGGCAAGCAGCAACAGTTTGGGGGAAGATATCCATGAGTATATTTCTCCCTAGAAAGTGTAGGCATCCATTTCTATAACTTTCTCTTGCTTTCTTTTTCAAACCTTTCTTTCTCCCAACCAAAGATTCCTGCTGCTGTGCAGAATATTTGCGAACATAATCTACTGTATATAGAAGTCCTATAAGCCCCATTTTCTTCCCTTTTTGCAAGTTCAGAAAGCATGAAATCTATATTATGGAAACATGTTTTATTTTCTCAAACACAAGAAAATGCTCTGGCATCTTTCAATTCTATGATAAACTCAGCCCATGAATGAGAATTACCCCACTTCCCCCTCCACACACACATCCCCCAAAAAGGTTATTTACCAAGAAGACATCAATCTTTAGATCACTATGAATCTAACACAGCTCTTTACATCATAGGAGACTGTGCCTAATAGATCTAAAAGGGAAGATCAAAATCCTCAGTACTCCTCCCTCAACCAATAGGACTAGTATACAGAAAATTGGCCCCAATATTGGAAAACTGAAAAATACTATCAACCAATAAGATTTCATATATACTTGCATACTGTACATTGCTTTGTAACACCAGAACCACCTACTCTCAAGTACAAAAAAAATGTGCACAAAAATGATTATCTTCTGAATAATGAGACAAGTCTTCACTATCACGATCACGACCATCCTATTGTTCATCAATTGCCTCGAGCAGGCCCCAGTAATGTCTCCTTCGTCCTAGCCCTGAGATTTTTTTAATAAGTGCCATATTCAAGCCTCTTTCAGGATTAGGAGAATGACGCCCATCATTGTTACTGGTATTTGGCATATTGGTACACCAAGGGGAGTTTGAAAGACTCTGCCGTGTGGGCAGGTTACATTTGGTAGCCTGCCAGTTTGTCCAAAGTAAGAATAAGATTATACAAATATTTCAATTATATTTCAATTGTTATATTATTATATTTCAATATTTCAATGATATTTCAATTATTATATTTTATTATTATATTTCAATATTTCCATTATACAATGATCAAATACCCATCCCTCCACCAGTGCCCATTTCCCACCACCACAGATCCCAGTATCCCTCCCACCCCCCATCCCCCCAATCCCACCCTGCCTCTGTAGCAGGGCATTCCCTCTTGTTCTCTCTCTCCTATTGGATGTTGTGTTTTACATTGGCATTGGAATTGAGTGCCAATCATGTTTGGTCTATAGTCTACTTTCAGCATGCCTCTCCCATGCTGGGAGGATCCTCCCAACACCCTTTATTTGGTGCTCCCTTCTCTATCTGAGCTCCTTTTTCCTCTAGCATGTGTAGCTGGCCTCCAAGCCATGGAGCAAAATTCCTGGTACTCGTCTTGGCCATTCTTGGGTGTTTTTTTTTTTTTAAAAAAAAAGAACAGAAAAAGAAAAAAAAACTGCAGGTCACAAAAATCAAAATGAATTAAAACTTTGAATGCATAAAAATCGTTTTCAGGGGCTGGAGTGAAAGCACAGTGGATAGGGCGTTTGCCTTGCATGCAGCTGATCCGGGTTTGGGTCGGTTCGAGTCTTAGCATCCCATATGGTCCCCCGACCACAACCAGGAGTAATTCCTGAATTCATGAGCCAGGAGCAATTCCTGAATTCATGAGTCATGAGAGACAAGTCTTATAAATTTCACATATAAAACATATTTTCTAATCCTAAGAAATAAATAAATTGGGCTGGAGTGACAGCACAGAGGGTAGGGTGGCCGACCTGGATTTGATTCCTTCGTCCCTCTTGGAGAGCCCGGCAAGCTACTGAGAGTATCCCACCCGCATGGCAGAGCCCAGCAAGCTCCCCATGGCGTATTTTATATACCAAAAATAGTAACAACAAGTCTCACAACGGAGACATTACTGGTACCCTCTCGAGTACCAGTAATGAACAACAAGGAGACAGTGCTACAGTGCTAAGAAATAAATTAGTAACAAAAAGATACAGGAAAAGCTTCAAATTTAGGAATATAAACATCTTTCTAAATAACTCTCAGGTCAAAGGTTAAGTGACAAGGAAAATCAGAAAAATATTCTGAACTGAAGGAAGGTGACCAAGAGAAGAAAAAAAATTCTGATTTGCCCAGTTTTGTGCCGAGTCAGGCAGTCTAGATCTCTGTATAGAAAGAAAGGATTTTCTTGGATTAAAAAGAAATCAATCACTGGGGCCGGAGCAATAGTACAGCAGGGAGGGCGTCTGCCAGGTTCAATTCCTGGCATCTCATATGATCCCCTGAACATCAGGAGTAATTCCTGGCATCCCATATGGTCCCCTGAGCATTAGGAGTAATTCCTGAGTGCAAAGCCAGGAGTAATCCCTGAGCATCATCAGGTGTGACCCAAAACGCAAAAATAAATAAATAATAAAAGTTAACAATAAAATCATTTAAAAAAAAGAAATCAATCAATTCTTTGATTTCCTGGCTTAAAGGACAATGCTTTCAATTTTGCTATCAGTCACAATCACCTTGGACATGATGGCATGTTGGTTCGTGCATAATTATGAATATCAAATTTCCTCTGTCAGATTGCTTTTTATAATATGATAGGTACAACCAAACAATCGAGTGTAAAAGTCACGGCACTTCAGGGTATGGCTGGGGTTGTCAGTGGAGAAACAAGCCAGAGTGATCACGTGACCATGAGGTTTGGCAGAGCCAACAGAATTGAGATCATAATTTCTTCACTGGAAGCAGTACTCACAGGAACTTTTCACAGATGTCAAAGTTAGAGCAATTCCCTGAGGTGTGGTAGTAACCAGAGGAAACTGTGACTTGCTTGCTCCTAAGTAAGGAGATGATAAATAAGGAGTGAATACACTGCTCTTCTGGACCTCTCATTTCAAATTTCTCAGCCGTAAGTTTGTTTGCTGTTGAGTTTCATGTTTCATGCGTTTGCTTGGAGGCTTTCTGTTTATTATTTCTGTGATTCCTGTCACTGAATATGGCTGTAGGAGTGGAATGTTAACAGTGGAGAAATCCTTTTGAAAATTAATGAACTATTTCGCTGCTTAAATATCTGACATTTCATATTACAGAGATGTATGCACTGAAGTAAAATATGTTTATTCAAAGTGTGCCACTATTAATGGTTTGAGGGTAGGGTTGGAAAAAAAGCTATAAAATTTGCAAAAAAAATATGTGTGGGACTACAGCTGTTGATGATGGATTTACAAACCTGGAATGTTTTTTTGAAGTTATAATTATTAACCTGTATTGCATAATAATGAGGGCGCATTTTGGAGAAACTGTTCTTCAGACTTTGAGATTATTTGCCCAAAGCATTGCAGAAACAGTCTATTGGAACCTCTAGGCTGTCAGAATTGTGAAAATGTAAGATGCATTGCAAAATATTTCACTCTGTGCACACCAAGTTTTGAGTCAGATGGTGAACTATGCAGCTATTCCTAAACACATTACTATTCCTAATGCACTTAACTTGCAGTATCCAGAACTTTTGAGCTTCTACAACTTTTGTTGTAGAAGCATTTTGTTCTGAGGTAATCATCACATTAGCAGTGAAAAATCTGAGTAGTTCCAAATTGAACCTATCTGCTATGAACACAGAACATATGCAAATTGAAAGTTAACAATTTGCACAGCTCTGCCCACAGAGCTCTTACCTGATTCCCTGAATGAGGAACCACCAACAACCTCTCATCTGAGAATACACATCAACCCCCAGATAGGGGAAAAATGTGTAAGGGAAATGTGAAAAACCTGAATCTTGTGGAAAACTTGAATTAGATCAAAACGTGTAACCTATTTCAAAATGTGTAACTCGTTTTTATTTTTTTTAACCAATACTATAGTATCTGTTTCTGTATTCCCTGTCTAACTCTCTGCCACCTCAAACCCCTATAAGTCCCCAGTTCCCTCTAGTTGCCTAACTCCCTGCAGTTAACCCTAAATCCTAAAGGCCTATAGCTTACTTTCCTTTGATTCTGAGAATTAACTGCCACCTTTAGCCCCTTCTGTGCTGGAAACCCTAGAGTGCTAGAGATTTGTTTGCTAGGAAGATACAACGAATCCCCGAGGCTTGTAATTCACATTTCTGCCTTCCTTTGTTCAGTTTCCCACCTTACATAGGATAGCCATGTAAACCTGTGAGAGGAGTAAGTGGGCACCCAAGCTTTGGGGAGACATTATTCCTGAGAACCCCTTGTGAAATAAAAAGTGCTTTTCCTAACCATCAGGCAGTTCTCTCTTCACTGGAAGAGATTTTCTATCCTGCCTCTCTAAATCCCATTCCATGGGCTGCCTGTCCAGTTTGCTCAATCTTTTTCAACCTAGATTTCCTGCCCTGCCTCATTATTACTACCCTGCATATATTATGGCATTGCTCTCTGCTTCAGCCTTGGTTCCGTCTCTCATTGGAATTGAGCCCAGCACATCTTACCTGAGTTTAATTTCTAGGAAATAGCATGGTCTATTTTTTTTCCTTTGGGAGTTTTGTTTTCTTCTGTCTTGTTTTGGCTTTTTGGGTTATACCTGGCGATGCTTAGGGGTTACTCCTGGCTCTGCACTCAGAAATTACTCCTGAGCAGTGTTTGGTACCACATGGGGTTCTGGGGATTGAATTCAGGTCGGCCAAGTGCAAGGCAAACGCCCTACCTGCTCTGCTATCACTAGTGTCCCAGAAATAGCAGTCTTGTGGAAGATCAATTTCTAGGGGTTTTTGGGGGGGTGGTGGTAAGGGAGGGTTGTGGGGTTTTTGGGGTTTTGTTTGTTTCTTTGTTTGTGTTTTTGAGACATGTCCATATATTTTCCCAAAAATATCTGAACCAGTCAACATTCCCATTGGAATTCCTTTTTTTTTTTTTTTCATGAAACCCTGTCCTTATCAATATTGTAAACCACAGTGCCTATATAAAATTGGGGCTGGGGGGAAGCATGGTCTTCAACATCATCCTGCAGAATGAGCTAGTAGGAGGAAAACTTCTAGCAGAGGATGCAACCACTCCTTGTCATTTAGGGAATAGCACTGTCGCACTGTCCTCCAGTTGTTCATCGATTTGCTCAAGCAGACACCAATAACGTCTCCATTGTGAGACTTGTTGTTACTGTTTTGGGCATATAGAGTACGCCATGGGGAGCTCGCCAGGCTCTGCTGTGCGGGCAGGATACTCTCGGTAGCTTACTGATCTCTCTGAGAGGGGCAGAGGAATCCAACTTAGGTAGACTATGTGCAAGCCAAGTGCCCTACCTGCTGTGCTATCACCACTGGCAATGAAGATGGACTAGCTTTCCAGCTAGTCCATCCTACATACAGAGGGAAGAAACCATTTGTCCCAAGACTATAGTGGCAAGAGCCAACTGGCAGCCTGCAGGGTTCTGTCTTCATGGTCTAAAGCTCTGACCTATTCTTCCCAGTCCTGACCCTGGCATGCTTCCTAGAAAACTCAGGACTGCTCCTGAATTTCTATACTTGTTCTAATTCAGCTATATTGCACTACTTCCTCCTTCATAGAGACCTATTGGAGAGCACTTGAGTCATCTGGTTTTCAGAAGACTCTCTGGAGCATATTTGGAGTATTATGGATTAGGGCAATGCCAACCAGTGCTATTATTATGCAGGTATATATTTCCTTAGGAAAGATATTTGGGGGTCCCTGATGCAAAAAAAAAAAAGAGATTTTTCCAAATTCTCTTTCTCATTCTCTCCTCCCATCACCTCCTCTTTCAGCCCCTCCTACGCAATCTCATTGCTCCGGGGGAAATATGCTAAAACTGACTCTCCCTTTACCAATGGTTATCTATTGTGCTCCTGCTCTATGCTGCTGGCACAGTATCTGTGAAAGGATTAGATTTCTCTCTGCAGACATTGTTAGGTATAGTCTACATATGTTTTCAGACTGCATTAGCCTTCACACAAGTCAAAGCACCTCTATTCTACTTCTTCCTCAAACTGATCCAAGGCTAATTCAAGTGAAATATCCACCGTTAACTTCCCTCAACACCCTTTAACATAAACGTCGATATATCACAACCTCCCCATGGATAGGGAGAAAGAAAATTTGATCAATTCAATAGCGTGCAAGTATATGGTTGTTACCGGTGGAGTGCCCAGCTGACTAATGTGAAATGGAGAGGAGAGAGACAGAAGTCTTGAGAAGGGGATCTACCACGTTCTCCTGTTCCATCTCTGCCATTCTGGGAATGACTGGGAAGTCTAGGACTGATGAAACTTGTGATGAGCTTCATGCTGCACGGGCCTTAACTTCCGCCAGCCCCACTAGTCAAGCTGCACCTGATGTCCACTTATTCTGCACGGCATGGGAGTCGCTCCCCAACACCCGATTTCTTGGGGATCCTTGCGCTCAGGCTGGAGCGAGGAAATTGCTCTTGGTAGAAAAGGAAAGTCAGTCATGGATCTGACTTTTCTTTTGAGTCCTTCACCTTTCTCACAGAAAAGATTTCAGGAGGAGACAAGCAGTGAAGTAATAATATCAACAACAACAAACAAACAAACAAACAAAAACCAGATTTTATTTGGAAGTTTTGAGGAAGGGAGAGGGAAAGAAAGAAGTGATTCCCAACCACCAGATTGTCTCTGGCTGTGACCAATTAAAAATATATTGGGTCAGAGAGCTAGTATAGCAGTTAATATGTTGATCTTGCATGTGGCCAACCCCAATTTGATCTCTGACATGACATGATCACCCAAGTATTGTTGGGTGCAACCCTGGTGAACCCCTGAGCACCTGCAAGGTCCTGAGAGCCTGAACAATCTTAGGGGTTGGAGGCTACATAATCTCCAGCTACATCATAACGTAGGACCTATGACAGTGGCCTCTATGTTGCTCCACAGTTTCCAGGTTCTTCAATATTTTCAAGAATGAAAGTACTGAGTAATAAAAATAATCAGACTCAAGAGTTAAAAAGAATATAAGTTTACTGGAAAGTAAAAGAGAGAGGAAAAAGAACGCCTTAAAGTTCCACGTAGGGAGGAACTTAACATAGGACTGTGTTAACTCTGACTCATTTTTGGAGGTGCAGGGTGTTTACAGGAAAACTGGGTCTTTGTGTCACTGAGTACAAGAAAATTTCAGAGAATTTAGGGAAGTTGAAGATAAGGGGGTTGGGAAAGCCCATTTAAATGAAAATTGAGCTTTTGGCATTTCTGATGGATTGACAGGAATGTTGAGGAGAACTCAAGGATCATACAGAGTAGTACAGCCTTTTGCCTTAGTATTGCCCATTATCTTCTCCCTAGTGAGCCTAAGCTCTGGAACAGAATATTTGGTTTGGGAGAATTACAGAATTGTTTAAAACATAAGACAGACTGTTGCGGGTCAATGGGGGACAAACGGAACTGCTGGCAAGGGGAAACTGAGTTATCCTCTTTTAAGAGGACCCAAAGAGTATCACATCCTCGAGTTCTCACACACTGTGACCTGGTTGACGAAGAATCCCTAGGAGTGACCAGCAGACCAATAAAAGGATTTAATATTTTTTAAATATATGGAATCTATCACTTTGTATTCTTATAAACAAAGCAACTGTGGGTCTTCTATACATTAACCAGACAATTAAAAATTCAACAAAAAACTAAAATAGACATAAAATTTCAATGGCATATGGTGATCAAAAAAATTCTATATCTCTATGCTATTACTAGGTATTAAAGCAATCTACCCTTAAAACAAAAGCCAGAGAGTGAGGCTTTATCCACCCAACCAACTGAAAACTAACAGATGTACAATAAAAATGGCAAACCTATTATGGGAATAAAAAATTTAAATAGAATTCTATTATGAAGCAGTAGATCTAGTGAACATAACAGTAGAAAAGACCTGGATGATTTAAAGCACACAATTTAAAAGATTGACTATACAGGTATAAAAGAACCGAAAA